GATTTAGGGAGCATGTGGTAGTTCTTTTTATCAATTCTTCATTGTAGTGTGGCTTAGCACGTTCCCTGTTACTATAATATTTGACACTATCAGCACATTGTTAATTTGCAACGTCCTCCTGGAGCTTTGTAGAATGATAACTGAGTTATATGAGACAAATTCAGCCGGACGTTTCGAAGTACGAGATTATCTACGACACTGTTGCCAAGGATCCTGAACACATCTACGATGCCGTAGCGGATGCTGGAGTAAGCTTACTTTCCTTCCTGATCCGAGGATTACAGTTTCTTGAAAAAATTGAGCTCACCGGCTAGTTTCCACCTCCAGAAAGGGACTTGTTGTAGCTTCACCACGCCCATGGAGCTCTCGTCCTATCGGAGCCAGTTAAGCGTCCACTCGCTGTCACTCCACCAGTGTCCGATGATGTCGCAGCTGACCAAAGGTTGGTAACATCGCTTAAATTTTCTTTTCTCCTTTATTTCATTTATTTATTGTTTTTGTTTGGTATTTATTTACTTTTTTGCAGCCCTTATATCGAAGAACTTCATTATGCCGAAAGTGATATTTCTAAGCACCAAGTGTATCACGACAATGAGGAACACATCTACGCAGAAATCGGCCCGCCTCCTCCAGGTGCTTCCTTTCTTCTTACAGTTACTTTTTCATTATTTAGTGACAGCTTAGCCAAGAGGGCGGTGCGGTTTCGATGACGTCACCGAACTTACTAGTGGACTAGACCCCCAAGCGCACCTTGTGCATTGGGACCGCCTTTTCTTCAGTAAGGTTCATTGGTGTCACCAAACCACTTCCCAAACATCGTAGCCCCTGCGTGATCTTTGGAAAAGGATAATTATCACATCTAATTAGGCGCCTTATTTTGTTGTGTTTTCTGTCATGGTAAAAGAACAGGAAAGTGTGTGGTTTCTTCCCAAATGTTCGTGAAAATACGTCTTTGTAGCTCCTCCGAAAATTGGTGAAGGAGTTACTGACGCCAGAAGAACCACTGAGCCTGAATATGCAGGTAGTTTTTCCTTTATATAACTACTGATCTGCTCCGCACATTAACTGGTGCGTCCACCGGGCTACACAGGGCACCTAGAACGTGGTTTTTGGCTCCGCCTGCCCAGTTGCACACTCCCCTCACCACGAGAACTCTAATAGCTTCTTTTCCCGGTTGACTCGTACTTCGAGTAACACTTTGCAAATTTGGGAATTAGCCTAGTTCACTCCGGGGCATGCCATACACCTATAGCAAATGACCTTCCTTCTTTTGCCGACCTCTATCCACTTTTCTTCGATCTACGGGCAGTCTCAGAATCAAACTATAAGGGGTCGCCAAACTTTGTCCATTTCCTTCGCCAACCTCCATTTACTTCTTTACCGGTCACTCGGCAGTGACCGAAGTGAATTGTGAAGCTTCAAAGAAAACGTCTCTAAATGCCCCCAATGATTCTGAATTCATGTAAAGGGTGGGACATAATTATGAGAACAGCGTGTGCTCGCGAATATCCACTATTTCTCAGTCGCTCCATTTTCATATCCCTTTCTGTGCAGAATGTCATAATGTATGTACGATGTCTTCTTCCCCTTAAAATTAAATATCACGCAGTTCTCAAAATTAGTAAAATAACTACTTACCTCTCGGTACGTCAATCCTCAAATTGAAGTCACTAGGGGTTCTGGTACGACGGCAGCTCTGGCAGCAGTTCAGCGTAACAGGAAAGCCTCATTTGGGCAACAGTTCAACTCTTCAATAAGTTTGGAACCACCACAGATGGAAAATTCGGAGACTCGAAAGGTTACAGTTACCACCAGGACAATTATCACATACAGAAACTCGCGCTCCCCTTGTCGACTTTCGTAGCCACAAAATGTAAAAATGTAAAAATCTAATTGGACACTCTGAGGGCTTCACCTCTGCCGAAAGCTCCTGGATGAAAAGCCACTCCAGTGCTCTACTTGGAACTTTGGACAGAGTACTCGATCATAAAGTAAAAATTCTGCAAAAAGCAATTTCTTGAGTTCATTGCTTTCGAAGGGCGGAAGTGGTGTAGTGACAAGTGGCGCGCTCACCACGCGAGCGGTCCGGGGATCAAATCCTGGGTCGTGAGTCGCCCGGGCCAACCAAGCCTTCCATCCCTCCGGGGTCGGTTAATTGGTACCAGACTTGTCTGGGAGGATAAAAACACTGACTTGTACATCGGCTGGCCCCCGCAAGTCATTGTATAGGCCACATCGCATTCAAACGCCACTACGAATGTACAAATGGAAGTAGAATGCGTGCCGCATCCCAAAAAGGGATTGATCAACGGCAAATGCTTTATCCTTTTATTGCTTTCGAAGAATTGTTACCTGGAAACCGTCCACCTAATTTGTCTAGACTCCCCGTATGGTAACACTGACACTTGGAGGCAAGCGCGAGTAACCTACAAAAAGCTTTGATTCCCTGAACAAGGTGGACACGCATCAATTACGTGCCACCGCACAGCGCCATCCCTCTTCATCTGAAGGCTCGTGTTAAACGCGGCAGGTGGCAGATCTCAATTCTATTCTGATTTAACTTTGAGATAAGAGTTACAAACACTTTCCTAGCGTTGTTTGTTCCGTCAAGTTACTATGCATTTTTGACGACATAAGTTTTTCTCCTTATTTTGAGCCCACCCTGCAGAATGCGTAGCGCTTACCAAGACAGACCGATCAAAGTCGGATGCTTTCACCTTGTATAATCCATGCGCCCTTTATTCTGCTGTGGTAGAAAAGTAAATGAGTATTTGCTTAGCTCCCATGTTTACGTGAAAATATGTTTTGCAGTTCCTCCGAAAATTGGTGAAGGAGTTACTGACGCCAGAAAAACCACTGAGCCTAAATATGCAGGTAATTTTGCTTTCGGTCACTTACTACTAATTCGGATCCGCACACTAAGTCCTGCGTTGCACAGGAAACCATACAGGGCAGCTTTGATTTTGGCTCCGCCCACCACCGTTGTATCCTCTACTCACTACGAAGACTCTATTAGCTCCTTTTCCGGGTTGATGCCTGGTTCATGAACCGCTTTGCGAAATTGGGATTCTATCGCTTCCACTCTGGGGCACGCCCATTCACCAATAGCAAACAGGTCCTCCATTCCCTACCCACTTTTTTCCCGGTCTACAGGCAAAACCCTAATATCACATTAATCTCGGACATCGGAGAGAGCCCTAGGGAATCTCTAATTGGTAAGCGTTGAAAAAACGCAATGCCGCCTCCCCCCACAGTTATTACGGAATGAAACACAATGCATAGCGCTAACCAGAACTGCTAGCCACAACTACAGTATATCGAATTACCTATGTAATCTTGAACGTCACGAGATTTCCAATTTACCACAGGAAAAAAAAAATGTCTCGTAGTTATACGTGAGAGCTGTTGGAACACTCTTCAAGGTACATAATAATGAAGACAATTTCTCTTTAGTTCCAACGCGAATCGGTGAAGGAGTAACTGATGCAAGAGCAACTACGAAAAGCGACTACAGAGGTGATTTCGTGATTCATTCTTTCTTTGAACATTATCTGTAGAAACTGTAGGATAGTCTGCACTTTCACGAATCTTTCCAATCTACCTGAAGCTAGATAGGAGGATGTAGCAGCCCCACTGACAGTTTTATAAAATTTATTTTTTTCCATTTCCAACCCAAAATAGCTTTTTTGTATTTTTAAATTCACAATGATATTAAGCAATGAAAAAATATACAATATTGGGTTGTCTCATAATTACTGTCGCAATTTCGACACTTTTGTTTATTCAAGTTTTATCTCTTCTGGGAAACAACTGACTAATAGCATAACCACCATCATGGTCACTGATATGCGTGCATTTACTAGTGGGCGTTTGGAAGCTTCCAGCCCAGAATGAAGGAAACTGGGGGTTGAAGAATTTGGAGAAGTCGTTTTTGGGGTGACCGCAATCTTTAACTTTCTTCTCTGGCAGATGCTTATTCAAAGCGCAGGGGAGGCGATAGTCCGATAGAGCGATGCCAATGCTATATGGTGGATGAGGTATCGTGGCCCTGGCTATCTCCCTCAGAACGTGGTGAGTTGGCATTGCAATGTGAGGTCTGGTGTACATTCGGAGGAAGGAGGATCTGAGACGTTTCTGACGATTCTCTCGCAACCCCAAAGCCAGCCAAGAGGGCTATTCCGCGCTGACTTTAGCAATGCTTGTCTTCATACATTGAAGTGGTTCCCAAACCAGGCCACCTAGCGAATCCAATAAAACGAGAGCGATATTCTCAGAAAACGGAGTTCGGGCTTTGGTTGAGCTGGTGCTTCCTAGCTGCGAGGCAGCCATAAGACGTGCCGCATGTTGTTGTCGCAGTGGACTCATGACTCATTTCCACCGGTGACCGATTAGGGAAGACTCTGCTTTTGCCATCCAAGATGGCAATCAGCTGAGTCCATTTTTATTACTAGTTGATTAACCCGTTAAGGGCTTGCGCTTCCGAAACCACGCTGTTAAGGCACTTGAAGCATACTTCAACATACTAACGTATTTCGCAATGAAACGGTACAAGGAAAGTCCCTCGAGTCGCCATGGCCATTCGAGAAGAGATGTATACTCAGGTATGCGTCTTGGAACGCTGATCTCGAATCCGTCTCCCAAATCTGCTAAACGATCCGGAGAGAGAAGTTAGGGGGGTGGTTTCACCATGGAGGTCCAGTTCTTAATGCTACTCGACAAAGCAGTCGTGCTTCGGTGGCGCAGCCGGTAAGCTGTCGGACTTGCAGGAGCAGCACCAAGGTTCGGATCCTTGATGCATGTGTTGCTTTTGCATTTGTCTTAAAATATTTTTTAAACGTTTGCAAAACAGTTTCGTAGCCAACTTTGACTATTCCAACCCTTCTCTTGCCTACATGAGGTGATTTCTAAATAGAAACTCCTTTCTTTGCTCGATTACCTACGGAGCCGCATATAACCTCTCCCAGCGTTCAAAATACAGGATGAATTGAATTGAATTGGGCGATGTTCAAGCGTATTATTTCTCATGTTACTATCCATGATCTTGACTTCCGTATAAGCGCTCGTGACTCCATTATTCGGCTTGTATCTCTAGTGTACTTCTTGTTCAAGGCACCAAGGTTTAAAAATTTTCTTTCGTACTCGTGGCATGCAGCGGGGTACCTTGATTCACATCCGGGTGAATTTGAGACCCCTGTACAATACTGTTTTTCATCCCAACTGGAGGGAATGTGTGAGAGCGATGGATGCAGCGAGTTTTTCTTTATCCGATGTTCGCACTGTGAAAAGCTTTTCTGCTTCACTCATTTTGTGATAGATTATCACATATGCTCAGCAGGTGTTTCTGAAGCATCACTGTAAAATATGCATGAAATAAATATTCACAATTGGCTTTAAAAACGAAGTCATAGTTGAATAAGTCACAGTAGAAGTAACCTCAGGAAACTAGTTTAGAAAAGGATAATAGAGGTTGAAAGTGGTCAAAGTTGGCTACGAAACTGTTTTGCAAACGTTTAAAAATATTTTAAGACAAATGCAAAAGCAACACATGCATCAAGGATCCGAACCTTGGTGCTGCTCCTGCAAGTCCGACAGCTTACCGGCTGCGCCACCGAAGCACGACTGCTTGGTTGTCGAGTAGCATTAAGAACTGGACCTCCATGGTGAAACCACCCCCCTAACTTCTCTCTCCGGATCGTTTAGCAGATTTGGGAGACGGATTCGAGATCAGCGTTCCAAGACGCATACCTGAGTATACATCTCTTCTCGAATGGCCATGGCGACTCGAGGGACTTTCCTTGTTAGGAGGAATTTGAAATTCAATTTCAACTCGGCGTAATCTATGAGAACCCAAGAAACTGCAGTTTCACATAAATATACATGTATTCCAATTCGCTTCTACAGATGTGAATGTCATCAGTGATGTGAACTCGAATGTGGAGAAGGAGGTAACAATAACGAGCTCGGTAAAGGAGGACTTCTCCCAGCGAGGTTCGATTCAATAACGAAAGCATAATTTTTTT